TGAAGAACTGGTATTTAATATTTTAACAATGCACATTAAAAAGTGATCCCCTTTTGTTGTGACATTTTGAATGCTTTTTTCTTCCCCTAATATTCTCAGTTGTTACAAGTGTTGCTTCTATTTTATCCCCCCGAAAAAAATTGCTGCATGTACAGGCACATATCAGAACTATTAGTTCAAGAATAGTGGAGACGATCCTTAGTCTAAGATTTTTCATCTTCCAATATGGTATCGTGTACAAGCTTCATGTACAAGGGACAAATACTTCATTGACGGTACCATCTTCTTCATTCTACTTTATCTTCCTTAAGAAATAATCTTTCTCAATGATTTTAGTGTACTCTTTACTTTGGGTTCGTTACAAGTCTTTTTTTTTTTTTTACTTTTAAGATTTCCTTACATTCTAAGCAGTTGTAGCAGCAGTGGTAAGCTTTTTTGCTACTGTTCTTTGCTTCTTTGGGATTAACTTTTTAGGTTCAGTTGAAGTCATTAACTTATGCATGCTACGGACTCTTGAGCCAGTGGCTTGAGGTGTTTTTCTTGTTTGGTACAGTTTTAGAATGAATATGTTCAACCACATTCTTTTGGCTAATTCTTGGTCAACTCAATGCCTTTATTTTGGTCTTTGTATAGGTTTATGGCCTGTCATGGGCAGTGCTGGCTGTTCTTATACTTCTTTTCAAGGTAGGAAAATGCCTTTTTCTGTTGTTAAATATACATTGCCAAACTGTATATCTTGAGGCTTTTTTGTCTTGTTGCTCAACAGGTGTTCTCCTTTAGCCAGAAGATATCTGTTAACTTCCAGCTTTTGTTGCGTTTTATCCAAGGCCTTTCCTTGTTGTTGGCGCTGGCTGGAATAGTTGTGGCAGTCATATTTTCTGATCTTTCTGTATCAGATATATTTGCTGCTATCTTAGCATTTTTTCCTACTGGATGGGGAATTCTTTCGGTGAGTTCTGCTATTACCTGATCCCTTGGTTTCACAGTAATTCTTTGATTGATATATATATATATATATAGTTGGGGTGAATTGGATGTTTACTATGTCATTAGGTGATATAGAATTTGATCGTGTTTTCTTTCCAGTTATAGAGTAAACTGCTAAGGGTTGTGGGATGGTGGCTACATGACATAATTGTGAAATTGTGATATATGTTTTAAATTGGAAAAATATTTTAAAATTGTGCACTGCAGAATCTAGTAACAAGTGAAAAATAACTTGAAATATAAAAACGTGACATATATATATATCCTCGTTATTTGCATAAAATACTAGGGGCGATAATTTTATTCAAGACTTAAGAGAAGTACTTAAAAGATAACTGATAGAGAATTTCATTAGTGTTGAATCTGTAAGTAATTTATGACCGATTAAGGACTACTAATTTAGCAATCAATTCATTTTGTTGGCTTTGTTGTAAGTGTTTTCGCCCACCAGGAGTCCATGGTTATTATTTCAACTGGACATACTCATATCTCTTCATTTTTAGTTACATTTAACCCAAAGACCCAAAAAACTGCCACAAAACTTGCCAACTGGCACAGTTGACTGGACCTCAATACACCTGTCTACGAACCTGCATGCACTGCCCCAGAAACTCTGCAGTGTTCTTGATGTGGTGTTGTATGATATTGTGTTTCTATATATGGCCATCTTTTGTCTAGAAGTCACCAGCCTCCCTTTAGTCTATCTCGATCCTTCACCTTCCTAGTTGGGTCCTATTTTTAGGGTGTCATATTGTCGAAATTGCCAAGTTAAATCTAAGGATTGCAGCCAGGAATGAAAATTTTGGGATGATACATGGATTATCTTCCATTGCCTACATTATCTCCTTCAGTGGCCCTGCGACGTACTCTGGCTACTTGGCTGCTCTTGGTTCCCTCTTCGAATCTGGTTGACAGTATTGATCACACATTCCAGTGACTTTCAACTAGCATGTTTGGGAAGTTTCTTTCTTCATGAAAATGTCTTCTTATCTGGACTTCCTTCATATAGCCATATCGGTGTTGGATCTTGCTATATTTCTATTGATCAATAAGATCTATGTTGAGATTCTATCAGTATTGGATCAAAGCCTTTATGACCAAGCAGTCGCAACTTGATCCTTACCATGCCCAATTTCAGTTTAAATTTCGACTTTAGATTTATTATCCATAATTCAAGTTCAAGCGTCTTGTGCATGAGACTGTCGGCAATCTAGTTAATTTCAGCATTTGACGTACAAATATGAGCCATTCTTGGGTTTACACGTTGGAGCTTAAGCGTTGGTGATAACTGATATTTTGGGCTCTTGCTTTTCATTTACATTTATCATGTCTTTTATGAAGTATTGTCTGGCCACCAATCCTTTTGGTTGTCACGTCCATTTTGATCATATCCATTTGCCTACCATCTCCAATCAAACTCATTTAAAGACAGTATGCATGCATGAACATGCATTGGTTTGGATCCAAAGTTGAAATAGAGCTTTTGTAGATAGCGTTTATGTTTCATGTTTGTACATTGACCAAGTCCTCTTCCTGTGTATTACAATAGATTGCTGTTGCCTGGAAGCCAGTGGTGAAGAGTCTGGGGTTATGGAAATCCATACGATCAATTGCACGTCTGTATGATGCTGGCATGGGAATGCTCATCTTTATACCCATTGCATTCTTCTCATGGTTCCCATTTGTATCTACATTCCAAACCCGTCTAATGTTTAACCAAGCTTTCAGCCGAGGCCTTGAAATTTCTCTTATCCTTGCTGGAAACAATCCCAATACTGGGATCTAGCTTTACTTACGCTTCATGCCCTGTATTGTACAAGAATTATGAGATTTTTTTGTTTATTGGGAGAGGTAGATTAGTTTTTATCCCCTTTATAGGAAGCTTATTATCTGAATTTTGTATTTTCACCTTTGTGAATAGGAATTATCATTTCTTTCTTTCTGTCTTTCTCGATAAATAGAAATTATCATTTCTAGTTTCCGGTATGGCACTCAAATTTTTTGATTTACCCTTGGGCATAAGATGTGCTTCTATTAAAAAATGTAAGGTATTTTTAACTGAATTTTATCTCCAATAAATTAATTATTTGTCTTCAAATTAACTAAATTTTTTATATTTACTTCTATTTAATAAGGTATTTTATTTTAAAATAAATATAAAGTGATTTATTCTATGAGTATTTTTTTTTTAAAAAAAGCAATGATTGTATTTTAAAAAATTAAAAATATGTTATATTTTTTAATATTTGACTTTTTAAAAAATATTATTTACGGAAGGAGTAACTTACAGATATTGAAGTTGCCTTGCTAATTCATATAGATTATGAGGTTGAACGCTTTTGCAGGGTTAGTGACGCGGGCCTGAAGAGATTTAAAATCTTGCCCAAAGTTTCTCACGTGGGTTGTATATCTGCTTTAAGCGCAGAGACTTCTTGACAATTAACTGATCCTAGTTGCAAATTTGGCGGAATAATTAGACGAAAAATTATACTTAAATATTAAATATAATGTTCAAACAATTGGGAAGTTTAACAACTGATTTAAGAAAATATATTTTTTTCCTGGTTGTTTTTTTTTCCGTGTTACATAGAATTTAAATAACAAGTTATAATGTGATTCAATGTAAATTTTATCCTCTCTCTCCCCCCCCCCACATATACATATATATATATATATATATAAGCTATGCATCATTCTACACGAATTGACAGGAGGGTCATGATTTTCCCCGTGTAAATGGGAATTTTTGACCATAAATTTTACAGGACATTTCGATACTTTTAGAATGCGTCAAGATGTGGGAAGGATAGATTTCAACCATGGTTATTATCCTTTATTAACAGGTTTGCAAATGAATTCCATCATTTTGGCTGAATAGGTTTCTCTGGTAAATGTGGGGAGAATATTCTTGTCACGAATGCGCAATTTCAAAGAATTATGAAGATTTAAATATATAGATAACAGATTGAGACCATAAGATGCAGGGCTTGTTACTACTTCAGAACATGCTTGTCGGCAGCTCTGGGCCCATCGAAATAGCCACAGTGGTCGTTCTCTTCAGGGCTTTCTTTATTTATTTTTTGGTGGGACTGATGTTTGGTGCCTTCAAAAATCATGTCTGGTTCATTTTTGGGCCAACGAGGTCCTGATGCTTGCCCAAAAAAAAAAACTGATCGGGACGGGCACCCTCACTGCATGGATGAGAAGTTAGTACGTGCTTTCCAAGTGTCGTACCCATCATATTTTTTTCTTAATAAAAATAGTAGTAAATAAAAGTGAAAACAAAAAAAGGCAAAATGCGCGCCAAATTTTTTTTATTTAATTTGAGCTCTCCTTATATGTGAGAATCTAGATGACAAGTATTTTTCTATTTTGAGAATATATTATATTTTTCACAGATTAAGCTATGTAATCTAATCCAAATATATAAGATAAGATGAATGAATGAATTTCTACATTTATTTGATTTGATTCTAAAATTTGAAATTGAATATAACAATAATGTATATTTAAAAAAATTGACAGAGTAATAATAAATTATTATATTTTATTGAAAAAAATATAAGTCTTTATAGTTTTATCAAATTTTGTTTTTAATTTTTATAATTTATTTCCAGTATTTTTAATCATTGTAACGATTAAAATAATTAAAAAAATAAAAAATATATAATTTTAAAAATTAAAGATCACTCAATCTCTTAAAATCATATAGATTGAAAATATTAAAAAAATTACCAAAAAAATCCCATAAAACCACAAAAGCCAATGCATTTTCTATTTTAATTAATTGTAACTTCAGCGGACCAACTCCCCCAAAAAAATAACTGTGACGTGTTACAGCTTATTCTGAGAATATTTTATTCATCCATACCAAAATCGGGTGACGCGTGTCCATTGCGCATCTGTAATCGCAGCCGTTTACCGTTCAAACTGATATCTGACCGTCCATTTCATCCATTTCCCGCCTATATAAGATGCCCTGAGAATGCGGTGGCAAATCTTCGACGTCATTACGCTTAGCAGAATTGGTTCATTCAAGAGATTTCCGCAACAACGAGAAGCCCCTCGGAAGTTTGAGTTCTGTATTTTCTATTTCTGAGATTTTTATAGACGAGCAATCCTATTTCGGTCTTCGTTTTCTTGAGGATCGAATCTGAGATTTCCTTGTTCTGAGTCGGACCATAGGGCGCTTTAGGGTTTTGGTATCTGTTTTCTGCTAAGTGGTTTTTGTCGGCGCTTATTCCGAATAGTCCCTTTTTGGTATTTTGTTCTTGAATTTGGTTTCAGGTTTGAAGAAACTGACACGGTTTCTTAGCTGTAGGGTTTCGTTGTTATTTGGTTGCGACGATGAATGATCAATCCCAAATGATGATAAATTTGAACCAGAGGAGTCAGCCTCAGATGATGAATCAGGTTCAAATGATGAACCAGCCTCAGGTAATTAACCAGTCTCAGATTATAGGTCAGACTCAGGCGTTGTCTCAGCCGCAGATGTTGATCCATTCTCAAACATTAAATCAGCAGCCGCAGCCGCAAACACAAAGGAAACCATCACAGATGTTGATGAACCAGACCAAACCTCCGATATTGAATCGGGGCTATAAGGCTTGGTCTCAACAGCCCCCCATGGACCCAAACATGAAGTTTCAGAACCCTATGAAACAAAATTATCCCAACACCAAGTTGGGACGAAGCAATTGGAAGGGGAAGAAGATGACGGATAAGCGCAAGGACCCAAGAAGAATGGATAAACCTAACCTCAGTGCCTCCACCAGCCAATCCAACAGTGTCGTGTACAAACCACCTACTCTGCATGAATTACAGTCTCAAAATCGTTTAAAAGCCCGAAAATTTTATCCCAAGAAGAAATTTAATAATCGATTTGCCCCTTATGCCCCGAGAAACACGACATCCTTTCTTATTCGGGCTAAGAAGTCAGGGGGCATAGCTTCACTTGTATCACCCTGTCCTGTAACCCCAGCTGTACTTCCTACGCCTATATTTTCGCCCTCGAGAGAGGTTTTAGGGGATATGGCAAAGGAAGAGTGGGGTGTTGATGGATATGGATCCATGAAGGGTCTGATTAGGCTTCGATCACCAGGGCATGATGCAGATGTTCACGAGGACGAAGAAGATGAGGAAGGTGGTGCTGGGTCAAGTGAGAGTGATGTGGAAGAACATGTGGAGGTGGAAAGAAGGCTAGACCATGATTTGAGTCGGTTTGAGATGATATATCCAAATTATGGAGTTGAGTATAACAATGTCCTAGAGAATAGGGTAGATGATCAGGATTCCCATATAGCGCAATTGGAGGAGGAGAATTTGACATTGAAAGAGCGCCTTTTCCTAATGGAGAGAGAATTAGGTGATCTGAGAAGGAGGTTGCAGTTTCTTGAGAGGCAGAACCAAATTGGGGATGATGCCAACGAGGAAGTGGTGGAGAATGGCTCTGATAATGACAGTGAGGGGGGATCGGATGCCCAGGTTGTGGGAACCGAGGATAACCCAGAGATGGTTGATTATGTGCCGTTGGATGGGAGAAATGAAGACGATGATGCTAATGCTAAGGTAAAAAGTGAGAGAGTATCAGAGACTGAGGTTATAGGAGATGTTTGTATGGAAGAGATGGTTCCTGATGAGGCCATTGCCGATGAGTATGAGATGAAGGGTGAAGTGAGGAATGAGTTTGCAGTCAATGAAGTAAACGTGGGGAAGGAGGAGCACAAGGATGAAGAAGCTATTGGGTATTGTGTACCTGATGAAGTTATGGCAAATAAAAATGTTGTAGATCAACAAAGGAGTGGTGAACTTGAAGCAGTGGATGAGAAAGAAGAGTTAGAAGGCCAGGAACCAGTCAATGGATGTGTGCGAGATAAGGTCCTTAGTGAGAAGGATGAGGACGTTGGGACATGCTTGGAACCTGTTTGAGATTACTTGTCTGTCCCTCATTTTTCCCTTGGTTGAGATGAGACCTTTGATTTGACTTGTCTCTCGAAAGATGTCAAAAGCGGTAGATAAATCTCCAGGTTCTTTACTCATAAAAGCATTAGTTAGTTTTGTTTGCAAAATGTTTCCTCTATTTGTATGTGGGACTAGCGGTCAAGCTGTGAGGATAACTAATTAGTTTCTACCTTGTACTTTGGCTACCATGACTATGTGGAAACTTTCTTTGATATATTCACCGTGTAACTGAATACTTTTAAGCATCTATTAGTATCCGTTGTTTTGACGCAGTGATTAAGCTTAGCGGGAGTGCTGCTTTTCTTTTCTTTTCTTTTCTTTTTTTTAGATAACGACAACGTAAATATGTCTCTGTGATTGTTTTCTTTGTTTCTTTGTCATTCTTTTGCAGGAAAATCAGTTTTCTAAATTCTTAAGCCTACTGCTAAACCTTTTCTGTGTAATGCATTGGCCACTTTTTGGTTGTGTTGACATGATGGAAATTGTCATCATTTTGATAAAGCTGCAACAGATTTCTGTTACGTAACACGAATTGTGCAACAGATTTCATGGTATTGTGTACCTGACACGTTGCCTCTTCTATTCTATTGCCTAAGTAACTGCAGCACCATACTTGGGTTTTTTAGACTCTGTGGCATAAAATTTTGCCGCAACTTCAGATCTCTGGTTTTGTGATGCAGTAATTACAGGTTAAGCTTGAGTTTGCCTTCCGGATCAAAGCTGTTGGAAGGTTTGAGTTTTAAACAGTTGTATACCTTGATGTTACTATACATAGCTTTATATCTTGCGATATTCTTAGCGAGAATTGCAGGTTGACTTGACGCCGAAGAATTCATCGGATTTTTTTCCCCTGTAACAAACGTCATACAAGCTAGAAACTGTTTCAACAAAACATAAAATATCGTCGACAAATATATTAACATTATTGAGACATAGAAATTGCCTTGTTCAGTATTGAAATTTCTAAGTCCCATACTACCCCACTGAAACTCGTTGTTGAGGTTTGGACCTCTCCTGATTCCTGAATTATGATGGAATAAGTTTTTCTTCTAAATGTACTGTAATTGTTAAGTAACATCTTGGCTTGTTAGCTGGGGAATGTGTCAAAAAGATATGCATTATCGATTTTTATAATTTCATCAAGCTTTGCTCTTAATCTTTATAATTTTTTTAGTGTTTTTAATTCCTTTAATTTCAACAGGATTAGGTAATGTTTACTCCTTTGGTCTTATTTATAGGGCATAAAAAGAAGAAAAAATTTGGTCCTATTTATGGGGCAGTTGTTAATTTTCATTTTTTTTCTACATTTTTGTCCTTATTAAATGTTTTGGATAAAAATACTTGTAATAAGATTTAAGAATATTTATTAGAGGTAAAGATGGAAACTTGTTAAATTTTAAAAAAAAATTAATAAGGTTTAAGGTTTTTTTTAGTTCTAGTGAAACATGCTAGAAGCGATTTATAAATAAAATTAGAGGACGTGTTATTTAAGTGTACATGTGGTTTTCAGTTTGTTAAAAGTTTATTTGTTAAAAATTTATTTAGTAAAAATCAGTTAAGTAAAAATCAGTTGTTATAACGAAAATATATATTTAGATATATTTTTTTCAAAAGGTAGTTGGGTAAAACTTATTTGGATTGGTAATTATTTATACTTTTGAAATGTACTTTTAAATATGCAATAATAAGATTGATTAATGATGATTTGTAGCTTTTGTTATACAAAATAATATATTAAAAAAGTTTTAAAAATATGAAGAAAATTTAAAATAACATAAATTTAATATTGTAAATAATAAAAATATAAATATAAATTTTAATATGTTGAAAAAAATTATATAATAAATAGTTCAACATTTATTAATACTAAATAGTTATATAAGTAATGATTTGATTTATGATATACAATCTGATTTTTAATTAAATTACAAATTTTATTTATTTTTTTATTAGAAGCTACACTTAAAATTATATTTGAAATTGACGATGAAAATGCATGCTTATTAATATCATCATGAAGAGATAACAAAATAATGATGGATAGCATGGTAAAATATAAAATTAGGTATAAATCATTAAAGTTCCAATATTCTCATTTACTTTTGAAAAGCTGAGAATTTGAGCGTTGGAAAATTCACGTTTTGAAGGCCCTTAAAAAGTTTATTTGCTCTCTTAAATTGCACTCAAATAACTTTTTGCATTTTAAAAGTAAAAAAATCCTTTTGAGTTGTGAAAAATGACTTATCCAAAGAGACTCTTAAGAACCTGTTTGATTTCTATTCTCATTTTTTATTTTTAAAAATTATTTTGTAATAAAGTTTTTAAAATTGATTTTCAAAACAAAAATAAAATAAAAATTTATTTAGTTATATCAATTAAAAAATAGTTTTAAAATTAAAAAATGAACTTCCAGTGACGGTTATAAGCAGTTAATAGTGATAATTAATAATAAAAATCAGTGAAAAAAGTTAATAGTGGTGATTAATAATAAAAATTGATAAAAGTAATTATAATTTTTAATAATCAAATGTAGTGTATTTTAAAAATAAGGAAAATAAAACAAAAACAACTTGAAGTTGTTTCTATTTTTTGGTTTTAAAAAATAAAAAAATGAAAACAGTTTTAGAAACAATTAAATGAAAAATATTTATTTAAATAAGTTTTAAAGTTTTCTTATTTTTAAAAAGAAAAAACAGTTTTTAAAAATAGAAAACAAATGGGTCTTAAGTTTTTGTAGATTCAAAGTTCTAGTGTTTTCAATTCGAATCAATAATTGTGTTTTGCTTTCAAAGATCAACGTTGAAAAGAAATACCCATCATTTAAAGTACTGTTCAAATTGCAGGTATATGGAGAATGGGCGCTCAGTTCTGTTTGTATCCGTCAACTTCCGCTTTTATATGCACATACACGCACCAGCGATATACAGACTGGGAAGTCTCCTGTTCACCAGTAGAACTCTGTCTTACTTATTTAGGTTCTGTAAATTATGTTCATTTTAACTTTTAATTTTTGGCAGTGCAGACAGCAGATTAGTTTGAGGCAAGTTGTTTCCAATCAGTCTTGGAATTGATGGGATACAGAGCCTACACTACTTAACCTCGTTTATTTCAGAGTTTCACACATGTGATCTTATTTTTATTTTGAATATTCAGACTTTTAATTCCTTGCAGAAGTTTATAATCCATGTAAAGGGGAAAAATTCAAAGGTCTGACTAGGAGAATAGTTTGAGAGAAGAGAGTTGAGCAGAATAACGGGGTGCTTGATGTTCTTTGTATATGTGGTTTGAATTCTCTCCTCCAGTCTATTCTACTTTAGCAGCGTCAATAAAAGAAGCATAACATGAAAGGCACGATGCGTCGTGGTCGTCCAGCAGGACAAGTTTATAATCGGCCAGCTTCTCTTGTTATCTCCACTGGAAGATTACATCCACGGCCATGATTCCTCATATCATGCATGCATAATGTTTTACTAACCCTTAAAATCAATATCAACAGTCAGTAGTGCTCCCTCCATTTTTTAATATATAAGAATTTGAACTATCCCATGCATTTTGAGAAAATTAATTTATCATAATAATTATGTATGAAATTGATATGTTTGAACTAAAATGATCTTGTAATTATTTCTTTTCCTTTAATTTAATGATACTGACCATTATGAGACAATTTGGGGGGCGGGGGCGGGGGAAGTAATGAATACTTCTTGAAATTTGTAATTTTTTAATAATAAAAAAAACATAAGGTAGTTTTCCTTATAATATTTGAAAATGAAGTAGTGTATACTCTTTTCGGACTATAATATAAATTATTTTTTAAAAGAATTTCTTGATTTAAAATTTAGGATATTGAGTAAATTTTATGTTTATACCCTTGCTTCTTTTATTCCTTGTCTTTAAATGATTTATATTTAAAAACCATGCATGTGATACAAGAAACTCTTGAAAGAGCATAAATGGAAAGGTGAACATTTTTAAAAAATTAAGATATCAACTAATATTTTTTATATACCGTGAATTAGTTATTTATGACATATATTATAGTTCAACATTCCCAAGTTATGAGACAATTTGATATAAGACTATATATATATATATATATATATCAATAATAACAATATTTTACTAATTAACTTTTTCAAAATAAAACTATAAACTTTTAAAAATGTCCTTATACAATTATTAATTATGCTATAATACTATTCCAATTCTCTCTTTATTTGAAAGGTGATATTGGAAAAGTTTTATCAATGAAACTTTAATTTTTCAAATTAGCTTATATTTTAGAACACCTCCAATGTTGTCTTATAATCAGGGACAAAAAAATAATTAAATTGTGAAGATTGTATACTTTTTTGTGCTAGCAAGATTTAATAAAGTTAGTTCACTTTCTTTGATAAAAAATATAAAGCATTTTTAATCAAAATTTATCCTTAATAAAATAATTAATTATCTTTAAAATAATATTATTTTTTTTATATTTACTTTTATTTAATAATGTGTTTTACTTTAAAATAAAAATAGTTAATTATTTATTAAGGGGTGCTTTTAAAAAAGCACAAAGTAATTTCTTTCTTAGTCACTGGGCGAGCTTGCCTCGGCTTCCTCGAAAGACTCGCAAAAGAAAAACCTTTTTTCCACCAAAAGGCACTTTCGCTATCCTTACCTTGAAACCAATTTCTTCGATTTCGCTTCTGCAGCAATATAGTTTATTGGCTCACGAAAAGACTTCCTGGGCTATAAAACTAGTACTACTCAACATTGACGAACTAAGCTAGCCACTCCTTAAGAAGGAAAGGTAGGAGCAATAAGCAGCTCGAACGAAGTGAGAGGAGCGGGCCCTTTCCTAGGCAGTCAAGTCACGGGCACTCGTTCTTAGTCTAACTATGAGTTAAGGGAGAGAAGCGATATTTTTAAGCCTGCTTTGCTTGCTAGGTTCCTTCAATGGTCATTTTCTATATTTCTAGAGAAGAAAATGGAAGACTTAGCCCTATCAACGTTTTGTCTTGAAAAGGAGCAAAAAAAGATCAAGGCATTGTAGCATGCAATCAATTTGCTTTTCTGAGGCTTCTCTGAACAGTAGCAAGTCGAAGTAGTGACAAATGGAATAGCAAGAATCAATGGCTATTCATCATTATAGAAAGTCTTCTATGCTTTCCTCATGTTTTATTCACTCAAACTAAGCGAAAGCGGTTTGCCCTGTATTTAATGAATGCTTCAATCCACTAAGTAGTATCCCTTGTCCAAAGCGTCAGGCAAGACAGACATGATAAAATATTCAAT